GAGAAAGCGGCTCGAGCCTCAGATTTTGACTGCATTGCCACACCTCACCCGTGAACGAAAAGGGCTACTTGGCACAGCTGAACTGCCAGGCAAGGGCTCGCGGCCTCATTGCTGTTCGACGGCTCAAAGAGGACCGGAACCCACCTGGAGGATTGACATGCGGCAGCTTGGTGCGCAAGATTTGCTGACTGGACTGGGTTGTTGGTTCATGAGACAGTGACAATCAAAGTCAGGTCTTTTGAGGACATGGGCAGCGTACGAAAAGCCACTCGATGCTGCAGTAAGTTTGACCGGTCGAGTTCTTCGGAACCAGGGATTGCCCAGCGCACTTGCCTAGACTGTTCCGTCATTCCCCGCCGCCCCTGCATTTGTTGCAAATCCTCGGACTTGCAGAAATAAGAAACTGGAAAGCCGAGGCTGGGCCTACCTCCTCAGCATATCATCAGCAAGGAGCCGCCACCGGTTGCTCGGTTGAAGCGCCCCACTGCAGCGCAGGCTGGGTTCAGCTTGCACTCTTGCACGATGTTGGTCAGGCTGAATTCAGTGTGCAGTGCCTTGATCGTCAGGTCTGGGAGTTTGCCGCATGACTGCAGTGGGTCCTGCAGCTGTGACAATGCAACAAGCTGCTGGCAACCACTGCGCTACTTCTCTTTGCTAGGTCATGCGGAATCAGCCGGTCATCATAGAGGATGCAGTCAATGCGAAAGACTTCCCACCCCTGGCCGACTTCGCGGAGCTGGTTTGCTTGTTGCATGTGGGTGCATGGCCACGTTTGTGTAGCACATGGATGTGAGCAATTCAGTTCCACAAAATTTTTGAGTCAGGATCTGAATGCACATAAAGCAAAAACAGTATCCCAAGATCCTCCATGGCCGCTCTAGCATTCCCATGCGGCTGCCCCAACGAGATTCGCACAGTGCCTAAGTTCATGCAATTTGGATCTCATGCCTCATGTGCGTTTTGAGCATATGTGTGTTACTTCTGTTTACAATGATACAGGAATGAAAGCACGACAACAAGCAAGTGAGACTGAGAATAGCCACAACCGACCAACACAGACATGTGCTCAGAGTTGCTTTGTTTGTTTGCCTTTTCGTTTGTTTGTCTGCCTGATTGTTTGTTTGTGTGTCTGCTTGCCTGTCTGCCTGCCTGCCTGTCCGTCCGTCCGTTTGTCTCAGTGTTTTGTGGGCACACACTGAAATCAGACATTCAGATATATACCGCTGGTATATAATCGGTGTTGGGGACTTGCCTGCATTTCGCGCAGGACTTTGACTATTTGCGCGAGCGTTGTGGGAGTCGTTATGTGAAAGTGAAGGGTGATTCTTGCTGGGACAAGCAGGGGCGGCAGCTTTTTCTGAATGACCCCACCATTGAAGTCAGCATATCAGACTACCTGGACCTGATCGAGCTTGCAGAAGAGCACGAGACGTGCATTTCTTGGTACATGGGAAAGCTGCCTTTGCACACGGATGTTCCTGAGCTCTTCGAGGACGTCACCAACTCACCAAACTCGCCCTGGCGTAAGTTTGGGACTTGCTTTGGTGAGAACAACAAGGGCGTGCATACCTACTTTGGCTGCGGCGGCAACACCACTTGCATCCATTCAGACCCTTCAGAGAATTTGCTGCTGGTTCTCATGGGCGAGAAGTTCATGGACATTTACCCACCAGCTGATGCGGCTTGCAACATAGCTGAATAATAGCACCTTTGTGCCGGATGCTCAGCTTCCTTTGCATACCCATGCTCGCTATGCAAGGCATGCATACAACGGTGAAAAAGTTCCTGAACTCATTGGTTCCGCCTTTCATTGATCCGGCTCAAGTGCCAGAAGAGGTGGGCACTTGGCCTAGAATTCATGCCGCATGTGCAAACAGATGCAGGTGGAGAAGAACTGGTCGAACTACAAGTATGCCTCTTGGACATGCTGGTAGCACCTGCTTTAGTGAAGTTGCATACGCACTTTCGACCTGTGCCGGCTTCACGTGCGAGGCACAGCCACAACGAGTGCACTTGAAAGCTGGAGACCTGCTACTTCGCGGAGATATGTTGTCAATGTCACACCATCACCAGTTTCACAGTGTGTCTTGTCCCAGGTTCTATCTTCCTATATTTTGGTGGCACGCAGTGCAAGGCTGCTGGATCGAATTTAATGGAACTTGCATGGGAAGTTTGGACTTTGAAGCTTGTGACAGCCTGTGTTGATATTGTTGGAATAAGACCATGACCATATTGCCAATTTGACCATAGCCAAAGATTGCCAATTGAAAATGGCCATGGGTTTTGGGGACGAGCCGGGCCGCCTTCCAAGAGGTGCAAGCCGTGCAAGCCCAAGGCTCCATTGGACGCAACATGATCCTGAACTGGTGGTGCATGCAACATCCATACAAGGACTGACAAGAAAGTGAGAGAGAGAGAGAGAGAGCGAGAGAGCGAGCGATAGAGCCAGGAGCACAAGTATACGGGCTTCGAAGGCACTCGGGAAATCCTCGAGGTTCTGCAGCACTTGAATGAGGCTGAGCACGCCCAGAAGTGCCACAGTGTTTGCATTTGCCCCCAGGCCTGGTCTTCCAACGTGGCTTGGCAGCAGCAGTTTTAAGGCCAAGTGCCAGTGATCCACCACGATGTTGCTAAGGACAAGGCCAGTGCCACGGCGCAGGAAAAGGCAGTGGCGCAAGAGCTAGGCAGTGGCGTACTGTATGCTGATTCCATGTGTGCAGCCAGCGACAGCAGCTTTGCGCTATTGACATATTCACTTTTTCGTGAATTGACATATTCTGACGCACGTTGCAGTCTGTATTTGCTCATGCCCTCATGCCAATTGCGCATCCGAGGCTACAAGAAGCTCGCGCCCCCACCTTGTGCGCCTCCGCCAATGAAATCTGCCTCCCTTCTGCCCAGCAGCGGCTTCCGATGGAAAGCTCGGTGACCCTCGCAAGCGCACCAGGCTATGCTGGAGAGAGTGTCAGCCAAAAGGTGGAAGCAGTGCACCTTTTCCTATGAAGATGCATCAAGGACAGCAAGGCTTCACAGCAAAGGAGCATGCAGTACAGGCTAAATTTGGTGTGTTCCGTGATTCATCAAGTGTATTATGTTATCCTAGCTTGTGATTTGGCTGTCCCTCATCCAACAGATGCTTAACGTGCGCGTTCATGGTGTCTCACCCTGTGCAATTGTTTATCAGAAGTAGGAGGCAAGATGTTCGAGCCCAGCCAGTCTTAGATTGTCGAACTTGGCGCGCCGCACGTACATAGTTCAAAGCGGGTGCGACAGAGATTCTTCCCGTGTGACTTTCGAAGCAGTGTGATTCATGCGCATAGTGGCAGCAAGTTGTCAGGCGTCACCTTCGCAAGTCAAGCCCTAGCCGACGGAGAATCGGTGCAAGCCGCCTTGTAGCACGCCAGCACTCGAAGGTTTTGCGTGTGCTATGGGCAGGACAAAAATGCTCGATCCTAAGGCTTGCTCCATCTACCATGACTGGAAACAGAGCATGCACCCCGACACATTGGCCCAATGCATAGGTTTTCACAGGCTGCGGCTTCAACCTTGTCCGATCTGGATCTGCAAACGCACCTGGCCTGGCATTGGTTGGAAGGCAGCCCGCATCCTGAGAATGACAAAGTTGCGCTCAAAGAGCAGAGCATTGGGCTTTGTCATTGCTCTCGTGCTGTGGTATGGACTTGACTGGAATTTTATGGCAAAATCCGGTGGTATGAATGCCTTCGTGCTTCCACCACAGAAATTAGCTCAGTCATTACTGTTTCAAGAAGCTGATGATGCGGCACCAGCGGCGGCAACGGCGGCAAGCACGGCCAACCTTGCCAAGAACATTGTGGGAGCTGGCGTGCTCTCACTGCCAGCCGGAGCTGCCAAAGTTGTAGACGCAGCAGAGGGGGAGTTCGGTCATGAATCTTGTATCCTCGCGCTCGTGGTCATGTACATATTCTTCGGTGCCCTCAACGCCTACGGCTTTTACCTCATTGGTGAAGTTTGTGAGCTAACAGGGGCACGCACGTACCAGGAGGCCTGGACAAAGACACTTGGAAAGCGGCTTGCTTGGCTACCGAGCGCAGCCTCGTTGATTTGCAGTTTTACTGGCATGGTTGCTTGCGCCTCCGTTGTCGGTGACACTGCGTTCCAGCTAGCCACCTCCATGTCAGCAGATTTCATTCCTAAGGAGATGTTGCTGAACGGCATTGCAACTTGTGTCTTTCTTCCTCTTTGCTTGCTGCCGTCGCTATCGCCTTTAGCATTTGCTTCTGTGCTTGGCCTGGTTGGAGTTTGCATTCTTGCGTTTGTCATGACCACCCGTTGCTTCGATGGGTCATACGCTTTGGGCGGAGCTTTCTACAGCGACGCGAGGGCCGCCGTCAGCGGCCTTTCCCATGTACAGGCAGCGGTCCAAGACCCATCAGTCGGCCTGTTTCAGCAGATCTTCATTTTTGCCGCGATGCTGTCAAACGCATTCTCCGCTCATTTCAACGCTCCCACCATTTTTCAGGAGCTCCAACCGCAAGCTGACTCCAGGGGCAGGTCAAGCCGGCTCCCAGAATTCGCGACAGTCACCGCCGTTGCCTTTGTGCTGTCAGGCATCGTCTTTGGTGTCATTACAGTCACTGGCTTGGAAACGTTTGGAAGCTCAGGAAGCCCATCTATTCTGTCAAGCTACTCCCCAGCAGATCCTCTTGTATGGCTTGCCAGGATTGGCCTTGGACTTTGCGTGCTTTTCGAGTTTCCACTTTTGGAGCGGTGCTTTCGACAGACTGCAGTGGAGCTTTTCGGACTTCCCAAATGGCTGGAGACAAACGCACTCACAGTGATGGCATCGATTGCGTCATCAGTCGCTTTGGCATGCATGCCCGGCTTCGGTTTGGACAAGGCATCCGCCTTTGGTGGCGCACTTGGCGCATCCCTGCTCATCTACGTAGCTCCAGCCTTGATGTCCCTACAACTGCGCCAAGACCGAGAGACGAAACAAACCGTCTCAGAGACCCGTTGGGACATGGTCCTTCGAGGCGTAGCAGGCCTGGGCTCCGCTCTTGGTGGTCTTGGCGTGGCGGAATCCATGCAGGCATGATTGCTCGAACTGTTCAATATCATTGAATGGGCATGTTGGCATTGAGGTGAAAGCATGCGGGACATGTCCGTCTAGAATTTGTGCATGTGAGGGCTTCATGCAACTTGTGCAGCCCTATTTTCCGCCTGGAGCCCTGACCGCTAAATCCATGCGCACTGCCGGTTGAAGCAGCCAAGATCTCGGGGAAATTCTGCTTATTTTGCCTAGCCGAGTACACAGGCGTGCGATTCTTTAAATCAGAAGCGACATGATTCAGCAGCAGGGCTTGCGTGACGCGAGGGTGCATGCAGTGTATGCTTGCATAGCTCAGTCTGGCGCAGTTCCTACAGGCCTCCCAACGCCGCAGTGGCCAGAACAAAGTAAACTTCCTGTCAACAAGATTGAGGATAGGCTCAACAAAAATAGGAGTGTTGATTTCATGTTTTGGCGGTAGAAGATGTGTGGCAAAATTCGTCCCATGCTGCAACAACGCTGTGGTGTGAACCGCGGAGCTCAGCATATGAGCTTTTGAAGCGTGGTTTTCGCCAAGCTACTCATTTGGTGCATGTTGGTGCATCCCTTGCAGAGTGGTTGTTGGCTTGGAGACATGTGCTGAAGAAAGACCATGATCCAAAAGGGGACGGAAAAGACTTTGAGTAGGTTTGTGCGCGACGAAAGCAAGCATGCGTGCTTTTATGCGAGCTGTGCAGGGTTGGCAGCCCGCTGTTGGACAGCTGGCTAAAGCGCATTGAACGCCATGTGCCCGCAGCGACGTGTAGTTCAAGAATTCATTGGACTTTAGGTTGCACGTTTCACCCAGGCGTTTGAGCACTGGAGGCCTGCCCAAGGATCTCAAGAAATGCTTATTCTCCCACAGCCCGGCCAAGCTTGTAGGCCGGCACGGCTTCGGCCGCACTCTTGCAATGCCCGCGGAGGCACAGATTCTACACATCTAGTTTGCTTTGCCTTGGGCAAAGCTTTGCCAACGTCAGGAAGCGGAGTCCCACAATGCAGAGTCCTTTGATGTTGAAGCAGTATCTTGGCTGTGTAGTTTGTGGGATGTAGGGGTGTTGGGTTTCAGCGACCAAGATGCCAAGGCGCTGACAGCCTTCCTTGCTGACGTGCCGCTTGGTTGCGGTTCTGTGTGCAAGCATGGGGTTTCTTGCATGCACTTGCAGTGCTTAGGAACAGGACAGAGCTGCAGCTTCCGCCACTGGACACCGACCAGCGCAAACAGGCCTGGACTTTTCTCCAGCACTTGATGCGAGAGAGGTAGCTGCAGAACTGCAGAGGCCAAGAAGTTGGCCGAGCAGTACGCAGAAATCAAGTGTGAGAGCTATGGGTTTGGTCCAGAGCGCGCCCATGCGGCAATTTGGAGCTGGCTTGGTGAATCCTTACAAGGATTAAAACGATGCACCCGAGGCAGGCTACACCTCTTCAAGCAGAACGCTGCGTCAACTCCAAAGGGTGTCACCACAGAAGGCGAAAGTCAGGGGCCCAGCTGAAGGCTGCGAATCGTGCAGGTCCTCACTGACCGTATGTGAGGTCTCGCGTTAGCAGGCTTGATGGTCCTTCCAACTCTTTCTTGAACATGGCTCGCTAGGAAAAGGCAACTACTGCTATGCCAAAGCGAATGAAATGCAACGGCATCAAAAGCCAGCCCAACAACCCCAAAGTTCTCGTTTAAAACCATGCAACCAGTTGTTCCATATTTTCTTGGAGGACAACGTAGGTGGTGCTGGAAACGATTGGGTTGCGGATGGCTGTGCTTTCTTTTAGTATGCATCGCTACACCTGAATAGCGTGAAAGCAAGTTTCTGAAACCGCAAAAGCAAACGAAGTTAGACACATGGCCCTGTGCGGGAATACGGCCCTTCGACGAGTGCTCAGAGCTCGGACAGTGTCCCGGTCTCAGGCTCAAAAGAACCACAAGAGCAACGTTCGAGGATTTGTGTGCCTTGTTTCTTTGCTTTTGGATTCTGGGCCTTCCCGGGCTGCCGCGCTGCTGCCATCCTTTGCTTGAGTATCATTTGACCGTACATTCTTTTGCCGTCATCCTACCATCTGTTGGAGCGAAGCGTGAACCTGAACATGTCCAAATCAGAGCTTGCGTTTCCTAACGGTAGGTAACGGCAAAAAAAGACTAGCTGGGAAGCAAGGGTGTGGCTGAAGTGAGCCACTCCTCGAGTTTGGTTTTCCGCACTGTCGGCAGTCAGCAACAAGACAATGTCTGGCACTAGGCTGCATCGAGAAACACCCACTACCTCATCAAGTATTGCATGCCATTTGTTTAGCAGATTATCATTGCTTAGGCAAAGAATTCCATGCCGATCTTGGCTCAGAAAAATCCACGGTGGTCTCTGGTGCCGCCCTCAACATCGCTGATGCTTGTTTAGTGGCGCTGTTGATCGCCAAGTCAGGGTGCACCACTTGATCATGCGCAGGTGCAGCAGACAAGAGTGATACGCCAGAGGAAACCGAGGAACTCCTCCACCGAAGGCAAGCGAGACAATGCCAGCCGAACACTGTAGTGGCAGGATGCAGCAAAATCTGCAGCTTCGCCTGCTGTGTACCAAGTCCGCAATACCTTCATTCACATTGAGGCTGTCCGTCTGCGTGCGGGGGGGGGGCTTCCTGGCTTCTTGTGGTGTACATAATGCATTTGCAGGGTACGGACGTTGTTGATCAGCGTGCCGTCCAGTCCATGCCCCACGGCATGCTGCTTGGATTTATTCAGAGCACATTTCTCAGATTTAGTGCAGAAGTTTGCTCGGTGGAGAGCGTCAGGGTGGATGTGCTTCTGGAAACTGACCTGCTAGGTTCTCGCAGTGTCTTCTAGACGAAGCTGCGCGCTCTCAAGGCAGGATTGCCTGTGTCAGCGGGCACCCTGAAAAGGACGGGGAAGCGGCCCGGAGAATGGTCCATCATTTTCGAGATCAGTGCGACAGGCAAAGCCAGCACAAAGACAACGACTCCAAGCATGACGCCACCTCCCACTGCGGAAGCTCCGAAGGAGCCTTCATGGCACGGATGCAATGCAGGATGCATTCGGCGCTTGAGAAGCTGCAGCTAGTGGTGAGGAGATGTTTGCACCTGGAACTGAAGTCGTGATTGAAGGCGACTTTCTTGAACTCACAATTGCTGTGCATAGCGCACTGGCATTGTGTGGCACCAGGCATTTTATTGCACAATGCAGCATGTTTACTTGGACAGATGTGATTAAGTCCTTGCCCCGTGTTTGTGCCAGGCCTCACAAAATATCCAGCCTTCAATGGTTTACACGGGACGGTGCTGTCGCTGGACACGGACACAGGTCGTCAGGCGCTTGGACTGCTTGCCAAAGATGCGAGCCCACAACACCGACAGACTTCATTCTTTCCCAAGTGCAATTCGGATCATTCTGGCACAAAGAGGTTGGAAGCATGCGCACGTACCCATCATAGATTTTTAAAGGGGTCCCACCAGTTTCACCCCCCAAATGCACAATTTTCATGGGATTCAGGGGGTTATACAGGTTCTTCCTATTTTTCCCTTATTAAAGTTTATTAAAGGTTATTAAAGGTTATTAAAGGTTATTAAAGTTTATTAAAGATTATTTAAGCTTATCTCCTTGTTATTTTTGCAACAGTTATTAAACTTTAATAAGGGCAAAATAAGAGCAACATAAGGGCAAAATAAGGGCAACATAAGAAAATAAGCACAAAATAAGGGCAACATAAGGGCAAAATAAGGGCACCATAAGAAAATAACAGCAAAATAAGCACAAATTAAGCACAAAATAAGCTTAAATAAACTTTAATAAACTTTAATAAGCTTTAATAAGCTTTAATAAGCACAAAATAAGCAAATTTGCAAAAAAACTCGGCTTGAACCCCAAACCAAGCACAAGAGAGCGGCGACAGCATTGCGCGCATGTCTGACAATCAGAATCCTGAAGCGTGCCTCTGACTCCTCCCACTATTTTGTGCTTATATAAATATGGGGATTTGGGGGGTTGGATTTGGGGGGACCCATGTAGAAATCTATGAACCCACCCACCAAGCCTGGGCTTGCATCTCGCGCGTTAATTGAAATTGCTACTTCCCGCCACTCAATGCCACTTCAAGTGGCATGGAGTGGAATGAAGTGGCATAGAGTGGAATGGAGTGGCATGGAGTGGCATGGCATGGGCTGGCATGAAATGGCATGTCGCTCTATGCTACTTCGTGCCACTCCGTGCCACTTCATACCACCCCATGTTGTGGCATGAACTATGGAAAGATAGCGGAATCACATGGAGATTGAACTTGTGGCAAAAGAGAAAGGCTACGACACGTGTGCAATTGCAACTCTACCTTTGATGTTCTTAAGAACGCAATTCGTGAACATATCAAACTTGCTTGCACGGACACCGGCAGTTACGTAATACAAATACAAACATTCACTGATGACATGTATACGAACTTTCAATAATTAAGCCAATATATTGACTTTAAAGCGATTATCCGTTTGAACACCCTGGCTAGGATCAGACAAGTAAGAGACAACTCGGATTGTCAAGGCGAATGCTCTTCAAAGATGATTTACAAAGCTTGCAATCAGAGCTAAAACACTTATATGCCTTTATGAGACATGGCGAAGAAGAAGGAGAAGAACACAATAAGTCTCAAGGCGGGGTTGAAAACAACATGACGAGTGAACTACCACATCAACATTTGGAGGAGGCACTGCACCACAGCGAGCATCGAATCAAATACATGCTCTTTCAGGAGTCGCTCTTGTTAAATATGCTTAATGTCTCGAGCCCAGCAACGTCCAAGTCTAAGCAATTATTATGTTGATGTGTTATTCCATTACCTGATGGTCATAATGAAACCCGTTTGAATACATAATGGTTCAAGATATCAATGGGCATTCATAGATATCAGAAAGGCGACTTGTACAGGTAGCACGGGTGAGAGTGTTAAGTCAGAGAACGGCGAGACACAGGCAACAACACTAAAATAAAGAGAACAAAAGGCATGGATAAAACGAACACACAAATACTAGGGTTCTGTTTGATGAATATGGGGTTGATAATTGCAGGGTGGAACTGATTGAAAACCAACCGTGTGATACTAAGGAGCAACTGCCGAGGTGAGAAGGTTGTATACCTTATTCATAACATGGAATCTGTCAATAGATATGTAGCGGGTAGAACACCCGAACACCCCACAGACAAGTACAACCCAATAAACCAACAGAAAATAGTGGGCGGGCAGAAGAGACATGTGAAAGAATGCGTGAAAAGCAATAGACAGCGAGTTGAAGTCCAAAACAAGCAGAATGTTCAGTGCGCTTGGCAACTTCGCAAGAGCAAATTTAGCACCAAGAAATGCCAGCAAACAAGTTTAAACAACATGTTACCATGTACTGTTTTAATAGCATCAATGTAAGTACATGAGTTATTTTCTGGGACAGGTAGTGTTGGAAAGGTTGCTCGAGATGTAGTTAGTGTGACTTCCCGAGATGTGGAACATGCTCCTATCACTCAGGGCACTCTGAGTGGCGACTACAAGCAGTTTGATGTCGGTGAGTTTGATGTTATTTGGAGTTCCCCTCCCTGCACCAAAACCCGGAGGGCAAACACTGTTGCAACAGTGTCCTTTTAAAAGCACTTGAACATGTTGACTATTTTAGATCCGCATGCTGGATCCCGAACAGGAATATTGCTCATGATAAGTGATTTGTTTAATCATATTATACTATTCAACTATGATGTAAATCAACTCCATGAGCCATGGCATAATTCAAATTAAAGCACCTCTTACACATATCTAAGGAAATGATCCGTGTAACATACAGACTCAGTGGTAAAGTCTCACCTGTTAGACAAGTTTAACGAAGGAATAAGCAAAACTATGTTTGGACAAGCAAACGTCGGGATGAAGAAAACATACTACACCACAACAGGAACAAATCCTTCAACATGCACATATGAGGCAAGACACAAAGCGGCAAATGATTGTTTTCAAAGCAGATCTAGCAAAACACACTCACCACCCAAAGCCCCAAAGCACAAGCTGCTGTCAGACCTTACCTTATTCAAAATACAAAGCTTTTCTTCCCAGCCCAAGGGCGAAACAGCAGACCACATTTCCTTTCTTCCACCCTTATCCAGAATAAGTGAAACCAGCTCCGAAAAGCTTTCAGATTCAAAAAGAGAAAAGGAAAAGGAAAATCAGGAAACAAAAAGGGCAGTCACCAACGAGGTGGCTTCAAAAACCCTTTCGAAAAAGCGGTTCTGGCGGGAAGGCCAATATGGCCAATGAAAATTATGATCCCTACGACCAGGCATATTGGGGAAAAGGCAAAGGAAAGAAGGGAAAGAAAGGAAAATCCAAATTCCAATATCCCTATGATGGAAACAAAGGTTATCCATCCTATGAGAATGGCAAAGGAAAGGGCGGACATGACAAAGGAAAATCCAAAACGTTCGCAGCCATTGCAGAGAAGTCGGAGGAGCATCCTGCCACACAGACAGTTGCTGAACTCCAAGAGCCTGCCTATGCCGGTTGGACAGGCCAAGATTGGGATCAATCATGGACACGGAACGAACAAGGCTGGCACTCATCCCACGAGACATCCAGCACAGGACAAGCGCTAATGGCATTCCATGACGCATATGAGCATCATGAGAAAGAGGCCATCCACGGGAAGCTGATCCAACCAGATGCAGTTTCAGAACACAATTTGTCCGTAACAACAGATGACAGCCTTTTGGCAACAAAGCTGATGGCGCCTGTCATCAACCCTCAGCACAATCCGACCTATGCGATCCTGGACAACGGATGTACCAGATCCATGGGCAGCTGGCATGCAATCCAGCGTTTTACTCAGGCCATCGAACCCATGAAGGACCTCATCTTCTATCAGGCCGGGACCAAGTTCACTTTTGCAAACGGAGAAACAGCCAAGGTAATTTGGACCTTGCATCTCCGATATCACACAACTCCTCCACGCAGTACTAACATCGACGTCCTTGAACAAGGAACTGCACCGATCCTCCTCAGCATTAATCAGATGCGGAACCTCTACATGACCATCGAGCACACACCTCAATGTGACAAGATCACACGCAAGGCCTTTGGCATGAACCGTCAAGCAGTTCCAGTATCCGGTACAGGACATGCACTCGTCGACCTCGCAGGAGTTGCAAGAGTGAAAGCACATGGAGAAATTGCCATCAAGGGCCTCACGAACTACGTCTACGATGATGACAACAGCATCAGGTTTCCCTCCGGGGATATCTCCAAGAGTGAAACTGTTTGTGCGCCCAAATCATCCGAGACGAAGGAGGACCTAGCAACTACTAGTTACACCCCCGTACGTGACAGTCTGGTTCCTGACAGATGCAGCTGCCTTCACCAGCTGTCTATATGTCACTTTCTTCAGTGTTGCAGGTGCTGTGCCTGCCTTGATGGAACTTAGCATGATCTTGAGTTGTGCCTTCAGGAGTCGAACTGCAGCTTCAGCTCGATTTGGCAATGGTGTGTTCGGTCTCAAGGATATCGGTGTGATGTCAAGGGGTTGATAGACATGTTCCCATGTCTCCGTCATGAAGGCTTGATCTGCGACAACTGATTTGGGCTGCAAGTGGTATTGGTCAAAACAGTTCCTGAGGACAGTGATGTTCTCGACTTCTTGCGTAGTTGTCACTGCCTCTGCAGTGAGCAATGTTGTTGCTCCATCCAGGATTCCAGGATGACAAAAACAATGATGTGTTCTCCTGTCCAAGAGGAACTTGACAGTGATCAATGAATGTCATGTCACCGAAGGTGTCCGCTCTAAGTCCACTCGTCTTGCTTCGTGATGGTGCTTGTTTTGCGCTTGGCAAACTTCACATTCACTTCGGATTTTGTCAAATAGATCGATTGTTGATTTTGGCAAGTGAAGCGAACGAGTTCTGAATCGAAATTGGTCTGTTGTCATGTGATGATGCTGGAGGCGGAGCTTCTTCAACTCTTCGGGATTTGACAATCGCTTGTGGATTCCGCCTAGGGCAATCGGAAGCGATGTTGGCTCATCTGAGGATGGTGCGAAAGGATCTGGCTCAATGGTCGACCGGCCCTTCTTGTCGATGATCCTGTCTGCTGCCGATCCTGAGCCTGCTTCTTCGTCTTTAAGCGAATTGTCCGCGAAGGTGAAAATGGTCTTACCTATCCACAGGTTAATCATTGGTTTGTTTGCCTGGGATGTACGCCTCCAATTGTCTTCTAGGATGTCTGGATCTCCAACTTCGGATGCATCAATGATTTCCGTGGCACGCTCTCGGCTGATGTTATCAGGATTGATTGGA